AACTCAGTTAGAGAAACGATGGTGGACACAGGTTCAAAATCCTCCCGAATTTGGTCACTGTGGCATCTGTTGTGTCTTTAGTCCAGTACACCACTGAATTATGTCGGTATGCTATGTCTGTACCATCTGACACATGCATATACTTTATATTCCTACATGTAAATATGACGTAGAATGAACAAATTTGCAGAGCAACAAGGCCAGGGAACAATAAGTCAATGTCTCCTTCTGTGACAATGATACTCTTAAATATTACAAGCATAAATACCCACTCCAAACATATTTCTGAAATATGATTTAATGACAAAGTGATTATTCCAGTGAGTTGTTTCTACCCCTGGGAATAAGCAGTCATTCAGTACATATATGCAAAGCCATGCCTCACATACTTGGATGCACCATACCACTGGAAAGCCTTCTCTGGAATGCGATTCGGACTGAGAAAGCACACACGTGTTCATCCTTCCTCTTCATGCTAAAAAGTCATGAACAGAGTGTAGAGTGAATTATGTTGCTCAGATCACATCTGGAATAGTAACAGACAAGTTGGCCCAAAGAAAACAGAGAAGGTCTGTGGGATTTTGCAGCAGCTGTCTAGAATTTTAAGGTCTATCGGTTCTTCATGTTTTGAACATGGCGATGGGGCTTGTCTGTTGTGCGTATTTTTTTCCGAATTTCTTAAATTCTGTTTATTTCCATTCTTTTTTTTTTTGTTGTTTGAATGTAGTTTAAATCATCAAATATTTTTGCTTGTGTAGAACATATATTTAGTACTTTTGCTTCAAATGAAGAGTGTCATGCTATTGCAAATCAAAATAAACAAGGTATTAATTGCATTTTATAAAAGCTGTGAGCGCAACTAGTACCACTTCGGTAGCAAGAGATCAAGGTTTTCCATTTGGATGCCATGAAAGATGCTCCGATGAAATTAAGAACATCAAGAAGCCCAGCTTTGAAATAGGATCATTGTCAGTGAAAAGTAATTCCTGAGGTCATAGTCTTAATTTAGTAGATGTACTTTAAAGTCTGTTAGAAATAACCACTACCTTTGAAATCTGCTACAGTCAGTTTGCTATTTCCCAAACCACAGCTGTTGGCATTTTGACTGCCATAAAAATGAATAGCAGTCCACATTATGGATCACACCCGTTGTAACGGTGAAATGAACCCTATTGTAGCACGGTTGGGGGTGGGTCAAGTGTAGGAGGAAAGGACTGAACATGAACACACAGGAGAAGAAGTGTCACCGACAAACTGAAACTAGTCATTTGATACAGCCTTGTGTCTGTCTTGTCACCTATATCTGTTTTATTTTATCCAAAGCTATTTCAAAAACACAAATACTGTGTTGTAACAGAATCAAAATGAATCATCTCTATTATCTGTCAGAATTTGCCTTGCCGCTGCTAGATTTCCCGTGTTGTTTTCTCTTTTTCTGTCTATAGTTTTGGCAATCTTTGGGCAAAGTTGCTTTAGTTAAAATATGACTGTACTCAAAATATGATGACAAAAAGCTATTTGTGAAAGGAAATCATTGCATTACTTGAGCTTTTGTGTCAGGATTCTACTTTGTGAAGACTTGGTCTACTACATTAATACTGCATTTTTAAAGGGAAGCTTTTTGCCAGGTTGGTCTGGTCCTGGAGGGGTTAACATCATGGATGTCACAACGGACAACTTAATCTCTAAACAAATTGAAATTCAGTCTCTTGTATATTAGGGCTATATTCTGCACTTGGCTCTGTTCTCCACAATCTAAAAATGCATTTTCAAATAAAAAAATTGATTTTCATTCCACTCTACCAATTTCAAAAGTTCATGTACTCTTCTCATGTAGAATTATAAAAGACTTGAAAGAAACTTGAAAATGTGTCTTCTCATAGCCTTATGTCCAGAAGAAAATCATTCACTCTATCCTCTTATATCTCAGCCTTCCTGTCCTCCTCCAAGACATACCTGAGTCTTCTTTGGATGGCATGAGTTTGTCTTTGTGTGTTCAACGGTAAACTCCTTGAGGGCAGCGAATCCATCCCATGTGGGGTCCACAGTAGGGCTCATGTCAGTGCATAGTAGAATTTATATCTACCTCTTAAGTATGCTTTTCCTTTTTTTTTTTTTTTTTTT